TCTCCCTTCCTCCTCTACCTCCACCTTCTCCTCCTACTCCACCTTCTCCACCTCCCCCTCCTCCTCTACCTCTTCCCAGTGTGCGTTTCCACACAAGATGCCTCGTGCGACTGTAAGTACTGTTATTAAAATTTATAATGCATTCAATTATAGGAATATGTTATAGTTTATTTGGTTATAGATTTATATGACAAGTAGAAAGGTACAATAAATGTATCATAAGCATCGACGCCTTTAGCTGGTGGTTTTATTTCCGGCAAGTAGCACAACAACATTCATACGAGTCCGATAGTTAAGGTGACTTTCTCTGGTAATTAGATATCGCAGAAAGTTCAATAATATAGTTACTCTCATAATGCGATTCGCACATCCCAAATTAACGTGGTTGAATTTCAATTTGTTGACAGCCTCGACTATAACTTGGCTCTAACCACAGGGACTTGCGACTGGCTGGTCCCCGCTCTCATATACACTCTTATACACACTACGGTAGGCGCAGAACGGGGTTGCTATTTATCGAACTCCGACCAGCCAGTCGCAAGTGCCTGTGGCTCTAACCGTGGTAGCACGTACTAGCACCATCGCTCACTGCTCACCTGCTACTATAGTCTGTACTACTGGAACTGTAGCTGTACTGTTGTGTTAAAACAGACTGAGACTGCAGCAGAAGCGAAAAGAACGCGACAGCGGTCAGGTAGAGTATTACTATTTACGCTGTGGCGTAATATCATTCTACAATATTATTTATATATTTAAACACTAGCAGGTAAAGTTGTAGGCTGTAAGAATATTGCGGTTGAGAAATTTCCTGTGGCCTTACACATTAAATTTGTTGACCGGTTTTTGGCGCATGCGCAGAACACGCAGCGTCGACTTATTTCCCGGCTGAGAAATATGTCGCAACACCGGCATATGTCTGACGGCTGCCGGGCACGGTCTTCGATTTCCTAAATGCCCGGCAGTTCCTAACCCTAACCCCAACACTAACACTAACCCTAACCCTAACACTAACCCTAACCCTTGTTTACTTGAGATAACGCTGAAAATTAAAAACTGCCGGGCATTTAGGAAATTGAAGACCGTGCCCGGCAGCCGTCAGATATATGCCGGTGTCGCAACATATTTCTCAGCCGGGAAATAAGTCGACGCTGCGTGTTCTGCGCATGCGCCAAAAACCGGTCAACAAATTTACCGTGTATAAGGCCACGGGAAATTTCTTAGCCCGGGAAATTTCTCAACCGCAATATTCTTACAGCCTACAACTTCACCTGCTATATGCTAAATAACTTCTATGAGCATTTGAGCTGAAAGTCCTCAGTTTCACGCCGTCGAAAATGTTTATGCTATTATTAGAGAGAGCTAGCACACGCTGGGAAATCATTTACATAATCACTTGTATTTACATTAAAGCCGCACTATGCGCATCCAAACGCTAATTTCTCCAGTACTAGACTAGCAAATACTTCGTGTCATGCATAATCAAATATAAGCGCACACAGGAAGCATAAACACTGGCGTGATGAATCCATTTCCAACATAAATAAGACATACAGTGATCACTCACATGTGCAGCCGATATGTGCATCCCAGAACATGTGCAACATACATGTACAGTATGCAACATGTGCAGCATACATGGACAGAATACAGCATGTGCACCCCCCAATGTGCAGCCCACATAATGTGCAGTATACAATATATGCAGCAGTTGCACTGAAACTGATGTAAGTCATATATACTCCTTCGTAAAGCATTGTTTTCAATAAAATGAGGTCGACAAATTACTTATGGTATTTAAACACTGCGATGAAACAGTAAAGTGGAAACTTACGACTCTAAATGTTTTGTCTACGACGAAGACGCAGCAAATTGCAATTCGCACGATCGGGGTTGTGTCGTTACAACATCGACGTCATCACCATGTAATAAAACGTAACATAGCGCAAATAAACAAATGATAATACAAATGAAATCGTCGTATTCATGTTTTTCAATGTTTATTTTTACTGCGGGAATGAATCGACACAATGCTGAACCATTCACGAGTACAGATGCCTTACAGTCCCACACCCAATACTGCAACAGCACATAGTTGCGTGAGTTTGCAGTTTGAGAGTACAGTACAAATACTACTACAGGGGTAGAAATTAACTTTTGAACAAGGGAGGTAGTCCAACGGACTCCCTGCCCTCAAAATGAGGTAGTCCGCAGCAAAATGAGGGAGTCCGCAGTCTGAAATTCAAAACTAAAGCATAAAAATAAAAACACGTGCTTATTTTGAAGATTCAAGCGATGCACGTCTGCAAAATTTTCTTTGGATATTTGCTGAAAAAATACGGTAATTCCGTGAGGCCGTGCTCTGGAATGAACTAGTTAGTATAGCAGAATTTTCAGGGAGTCACACGGACTCTTGCATATGTCAAATCAGGGAGTCCGACAGTAAATCAGGGAGTATTTGACTCCGGACTCCCGTTAATTTCGGACCCTTCTACTATGTATGTGTGCTCGGGAAGCTTCACTAATAACCCAAAAGTCCAAGGGCCTGTACTGAAGAAGGAGAGAGTCAAGGTTGAACAAATGGATAGATCACCACTATACTGATCGCTGTCGAAAAAGTTTCAATTTTACAATTAAATAGAGACGAGTGAAAAGAATTCCAATGTGGATTGACTGAAACATAAAATTAAATTTGATCAAGTGTTATTGTGCGCGCATGTAGATGCATTATAAACACGTGACACGTGACACATTTATGTTTTCTCCACAGCTCGCATGGCGCGATAATTACACCACGTTATTATGCAACCATGTATAATATCATAAATACGTGACACCATGTATTTTTTCTCCGTAGCTCAATCGACCCCGGCAGCCGAGAGCTAAAGATTTCGCTGAAGCCTAAGCGCGTTGACTTTGCCACGACGTGGACGACGCTGCGTGAGACGGTGCAATGCGTCGTCACGCTCGACTACACGCCGCGACAGACGTGGAACGACCGCTTCTCATATCCTCGCACGCCGCCGCCGCCGTGTGTATCGCTCGCTCGTACCCCTTAACGCGCTGCATAGACAGATAGAGTAGCAGGCTTTCCCCCACGTAGTGAGAAGCGAGAAGGTAACTTGTGGCAGACTGGTATGCGTTTGGGTGAGAGAATTATCTAAAGGAATGTACAAGATGAAAGAATAGAATATAGTCGTGTAAAACGTATATAATGAGACGATATCAATGCACTCTCACTCTCTCACGTGCATGCATACACATACGTGTGACCAGGGCCGTAGCCAGAGGTAAATCTTGTAGGAGGCAAATGTTGTGAGTTCAAGAACAAGGCGCAAAGCGAGCCAATAGGGCGTGGGGTATGGGGCCCGCTTAATTTTTTTTTTGAGAAATTTTGTAGGAGGCATTTGCCTCCTATTGCCTAATGGTAGCTACGGCCCTGCGTGTGACATCACACTGACCAGTTCACTTCCATCTCACAACAATGAAGAATAAAGCTTTGTTTTCGAGAATTGCCATTTTTATTTTCTTTCACTAGTAAACCTTCAATCGCCGCAAGCAACACGGATCGTGGTTGGGACGTAAAGACAGTAAACATTATCTCCGGCGAGAACTTGTGTTTTCATTAATTTAATCAAATGAATTTATTACAAACTTACCGTCTTATGTCGTATATAGCTACTGCGAGCGCGGAAAGAAAACAATATACCGGGAACACCTCGCGTTACGCGCGGGGATGCCTTACATTACGTCGTCAGCGTCGTTTCTATTTTGATTCTTCGCACGCGGGGGACACCTCACATCTTTTCTTGTTTATTGCAGTAGAAATAGCTTTTTACCCAACCACGGGGCCTCGTCGCACATAATTTATCCGTGGTAAAAATCATTTACCTGCAGTACAAATTTTTTTTCAGAGTACGATGGCCAACCATAAGGGGGAAGCGTCACATCGTGTCAATCGCGTCATTTCTATCTTTCACTCGCGCGCGTGAAAACACCTCACATCATAGACTGGCTGGTCCCCGCTCTCATATACACTCTTATACACACTACGGTAGGCGCAGAACGGGGTTGCTATTTATCGAACTCTGACCAGCCAGTTGCAAGTGCCTGTGGCTCTAACCGTGGTAGCACTAGCGCCGTCGCTCACTGCTCACCTGCTACTAGTCTGTACTACTGGAACTGTAGCTGTACTGTTGTGTTAAAGCAGACTGAGACTGCAGCAGAAGCCAAGGGAACGTGACAGCGGTCAGGTAGAGTATTACTATTTTCGCTGTGGCTATATGCCCGGCTGCAGGGCACGGTCTTTGATTTCCTAAATGCGCGGCAGTTCCTAACCCTAACCCTAACACTAACCCTAACCCTAACCCTTGTTTACTTGAAATAGCGCTGAAAATTAAAAACTGCCGGGCATTTAGGAAATGATATATGCCGGTGTCGCGGCATATATTTCTCAACCGGGAAATAAGTCGACGCTGCGTGTTCTGCGCATGCGCCAAAAACCGGCCAACAAATTTACTGTGTAAGGCCACGGGAAATTTCTCAGCCGCAATATTCTTACAGCCTACAACTTTACCTGCTATATGCTAAATAATTTCTATGAGCACGTGAGCTGAAAGTCCCCAGTTTCACGCCGTCGAAAATGTTTATGCTATTATTAGAGAGAGCTATAGCACACGCTGGGAAATCATTTACATAATCACTTGTATTTACATTAACAATCTCAAATTTAGCATTATTTAGTGATATATACTGATGTATATGTGAACATTAATACATCTTAGCTGGATATAGATAAATAGATAATAGATAAGCTCCATGCCTTGTGTTGCGCACATGGTAGCTATATAGATAGATAGCCAGGTAAATAGATAGATAGCAAGATAGATATATTGTAATTTATACGTAGATAGATAGATAGTGGGTGCTTAAAATTCATCCATTTCCATTTGATACTGCAAAGTAAACGAAATAAAAC